TAGTAAAAGGACAGCAAACTCACAATTATTAACAACCACACCTAAAGCAAAACCAAAAGAAACTAAGCAAACAACTAGAACAGGAACAGAACCACAAAAATGGAGATCACATGGAGGGTTATCAACAGGGGAGTGGGAGGAGGAGAGAGGGGAAAAAGGTACAGAGAATAAGTAGTATAGATTGTAGGTAGGAACTAGACAGGGGGAGGGTAAGAATAGTATGAGAAATGTAGAAGCTGAAGAACTTATAAGTATGACACATAGATATGAACTAAAGGGGGGGAAGTGAGTGGGAGAGGGTCTACGGAGTGGAAGGGAGTGAAGGGGGGAACTGGGACAACTGTAATAGCATAATCAATAAAATATATTTTAAAAAAGAAAAAAAAACAAGGATTAATTTAGAAGATAATGTACAGTGTGTCCATGAGTAAAACTCTAAAAGCAAAGAGAAGTCATTTTGATGCATCACTGGCTTATTTAACTCAGAAATTTATGGATATTTACAGAAATGCTCCTGGATGTATTTTTAGATCTTTTGACATAAATAAGGTTGCAACAAAACTGGGAGTATGAAAATGAAGAATATATGACATCACCAATGTATTAAGTGGAGTTGGCCTGGTTATAAAACAATCTAAGAACCACATTTGATGACTAGGATCTGATCTCAGCAATTTGGGAGCAGTTTCCCAACAGAAGAAGTTCTAGGAGGAACTTTCTGACTTACCAATGATGGAAGATGCTGTGGATGAGTCCATTAAAAATTGTGCTCAGCTGTTGAGTTAACAGATGACAATAAAAATATAAAAGGACTAGCATGTATAACATATCAAGATCATCATAGCATTGGAGACTTCCGTGAACAGATGTTATTGCAGTTAAAGTTTCAGCAGAAACTAGACTGGATATTCCAGCTCCCAGAGAAGACTCTATCATGGTACATATGTGGAGCACCAAAGGTTCCATTGATGTCTATTTGTGTGAAAGGGAACAGGATTGCTCAAGTAACAAGGTGTATGAAGGTGTACGGACCTTTTCATCTAAAAGCAAACACCCAGAACACCATGATAAAAAAGAAAATCCTCCACAGGAAAGTGAAGAATTGCTTGAAGTGATATTTGTCTTTCACTGACAGGCTTATTTCACTTAGCATAATAGTTTCCAGTCACTTATAAGGAGAATCTAATGAACAAAATTAGCTAACTAGCAAAACTGAACTGAAGATGTGGAAACATGGAACAGACTGACAGTCGCCAGAGGAGAGAGGGCAGGAGGAAGAGTAGAAAGAGGAAGGGAGTAGTCAAAGAACATGTATGAATGACTCATGGACATGAACAAAAGGGTGGGGATTGACTGGGAGCGAGGGGTGGAATGGGCGGAGGAAGGCAAAGGGGGAAAAATTGGGAAAACTGTAACAGAATGAACAAGAATAATACAAAATAAAAAAAAATAATTTCTTGAAGTGAGAGCAATTCACTTGATTTGAGAATTCGTGTAGTCAATTTTTTTTTAACATCCCATATGGAAGTTCAAATGAATGACCCCTGAAGTTCCCTCATTCTCAGTGGCAGCATTAAGGCCAATAGTTCTTTGAGTAGTTCAGTACTTAGAGTACTGGATAATTATGGTTTCCACATTTAAAAACAACTCATTTTATAATCGTTTACTGCTTTTTGTCAGTGAAATAGACATCCCGACTACTGAAATAACTTCATCACAAAGGGTATCACTAAAACAAATGCTGAGACCTGAAATGGATAGTTTTTCACGGACTCTGTCCCTTCCTTCAAGAATCACATGTCATTATCACAAAAGCCAAACAACATATATGTATAACCCATAGACACAGACAACAGTGTGATATGGCCTGAGGGAAAAGGGAGCAAGGGCTGAATGGAGGGGGACAAGGGGGAAAAATGGGGACATCTATAATAGTGTAAACAATAAAAATTAAGTTAAAAAATAAATTCTTACACAGTTCATATCTGTAATTAGCTGTTGTGCATTGGATGGGTGTACACACGAATATAAATGTGATGTCTTTGTATACATCAGTACAATGTTTAGGTAACTTATGGCATATGTTTATGTGCAACTTTTCACCACTGTATAGCCAAAACAATGCATATATGGAAAGTAGCAAATTATGTAATTTCTGTAGTATCTATAACTTATTAGATTCCTGTGAATAAGGGTTATGGTAGAGTTTTTTCCTAATTTCTACATGTAGAAGTATCGTAAATATGCTGTCTCATTAAAGTTCATGGATTTAATTAAAGAATTTTAGTATGATTCCCAGTGCTAAACTTGGATTTCAAGCTACTTGCAGTTATTGGGACTGAGCAGACTGGTGGCATGCCCCAAGCCTTTAGGGGCAAATGTAGAAATGCCATAAGATACTGGCTTAATTGATTACAACACATGAATTCAATGATAGTAACAATTGGAAACTATTTTAACCTTTTTGCCAGCAGATTATGTATTTCTGTATGCAGCCTTACTCTTCAATCAAAGGGGTTTACTTATGGTGAATAAGATGTAACCTGTCTGCTCTCCATCACAAGCCCCTCACTTACTAGTAACTAGCTAATTCTATCTCAGTGGGTAAGTCATTTACCAGTCTGTGCCTCAGTTTACTCAATATTTTACCATTAGAGAGTGAACTCCTTCTAGGACTTTCTCTTAATTATTGTTATACACAGTGCCTTGCACCATGCCTGGCACATGAAAGCACTCGATAAATGTTTGAACAAATAACAAAAAGAAATAGTAGCTATCACTGCTATACTTGTTGTCATATGTATAGTATAGTTTGATTTTTAAAATCTGAAATGATAACAAACAATAAGTCTAATAGTGCTCACGTTAAAATTAGGGAAGCTGTGGTTCAGAGAGACTTAACTTGGCCAAAGTCTCAGAATGAAGTAAATGCAGAACCAGGTCTGTCTCTGGGCTTCCTGACTTCCCCTTCAATTTCTTCTTGCTCAAGAGGACTACAGAGCCCACTGAAGGACTGGAAGTGTTCACCAGAGAAATGCTGCCCCCCTAGATATTTATTTATCTTCAGATCCAGGAGGTTCTAACAAGAGGCAAGAGGGCAGTTTAAAAAACATGCATCCATCAGGCCAGAAAGAAATTGACATTAGTGTAATGGGGCATGGCCCTTAAGATTTTTATCATGTAGAGGGCAAGGGTTGTGTGTGTGCGCACTCACATGTGCATGTGTGTGTATAGATGTATTGTGGTAGTGGTGGTAGGTTGTTGGTTGGAAAATATTGCCCTTTGTAGGACCCAATAGGAAAGAATCCCTAGAAGTTCCAGTGATGTGGACAGAATGAAATAACCCAAAAACAAGCAATGACAAGACAAGGGGGACTGAATTTGGGAAGCAGAGGGTCTTGACAGCATTCCATATGGTAATGACAAAGGTTAAAATGCTAGAGTTTCTTCTTAGCCCTTGCAGAGCCCCAGATCATGTGTATGTAACCACCCATTGGCAAGCATATGAAGGAAATAATGTCTTTTTTTCTAATCTTACTCCACTTCTCTGCAAAGCTCACCCCTCTCCTATCAAGGTCTCTCTTATCCCACTAATTAAAAAGAAAACTAAGATTAGATGTTATTTACAAGTCAGGATAAATTTGCTGGGTGCATTTCTCCTTTGGAGGTGTTTATATTTTGAAAGCTTAGTAGACTGTGGGCAGTGCAAAACCTAGATGTAGTCTGCTGGTGGACTTATAGTCACTCCAGGACCTGTGAAGAGAAGAAATTAAGCTTCCTAGGAGGCTTACTGTCATTCTCTTGTTTGTCAGGGGTCTCTATCAATTGAAAGTCATTAAAAAGTTCAACCTGAAAAACTTAAGTTTCCCTTAAAAAATAAATAAAATATCCCTTATGAGCACTAATGGGAGGCTTTCCCATAAAAAATGTTGAGCTGTAGGAGAAAGTGATTCAGAACAGAGGAAAGAAGGGGAAGGGTCATCAAGGAACATGTGTAAAGGACCCATGAACAAACCAAAGAGAGGTAGGATTGAGGATGGGAGGTGGGGGTTGGTGGGGCAGGGGAGAGTAGTGGGGGGGGGAAATGGAGACAACTGTACTTGAATATCAAAAAATAAAAAGAAAAAAGATGCCAAAATTTAAAAAATAAAGAGTATTATGCTAAATGAAATTTCTTCAGAGAAAGATAAGTACTGTGCGATGTCATTTATATGTGGAATCTAAATAAACAGATAAACAAATAAAACAGAAACAGACTCATAGATACAGAGAACAGACTGATGGTTGCTGGTGAGGAGGGAGGTTGACAGACTTGGTGAAAAGGTGAAGGAATTGAAAAGCAGATATTGGAAGTTACAAAACAGTCATGGGGATGTAAAGCACAGCATGAGCAATATAGTCAATAATATTCTAATAACTATGTATAGTGCTAGGTGGGTACTGGTAATATCAGGGGAACCTCTTGTAAAGTGTATGATTATCTAAGCACTATGCTGTACACCTGAAAATAATATAAAATAATATTGAGTGTAAACTTTAATTGAAAACATTTTTAAAAGAGTTTTTCCAATATGAGAAATGGGAGTATATTCCCCCATGACAGCCTTATCCAGCTGAGCAGGCAGTAGTTAACACTATGATGCTGAATATTACATAGGCTAGCAATGTGGATCTCTTCTCTGTAGGCCCACCAGAAAGAAAAACATCCCCAGACTGGAGGGAGCAAACTTATCCCAAATGCCACCCCCAACCTCTAAGTCTTGCAGAGAAAACCTAAAATAAACACATCCTGGGACATCAAAGACCAGAGAGCCCTACTGACTCCAGAGAAAGTCAAATCAATACCCTAGCAGGGGGAGAAATTTCTTCCTCCACCATCAAACCTCTAACCTCAGGCAGAGGAAGGAGGGGGATACTCATGTGACTTGTGCTGAAATAGGGAAGGAAGGGAAATGTGAGATAGGACTGGGAGTCCAAGTAAGAGATATAGGGAAGGAAGGGAGCTGAGCAGGCACAGACACTGGCAGCAATCAAGAGTTCAAGACTCTTTGACAGCAGGAGCCTGGAAGAAAGGACAGAAATGGCTCTGGCTGTGATGGGGCTCTTACTGGGCCTGCTGCTTCTGGACCACCTAATTGTGGTCACCTATGGTAAGGCAGAAAATGGTGGCCTGCATGCCACTGCTGACTCAGGCAAAAGGCTGGGGAGGGAGGTGGGATTGAATGTCTACTGAGGAAAGCTTATTTCTGCTGAGCAGGTGAGTTTCTCAGCCAATGGTGCAGACTTTCTCAGCTTTGAGCAGAAGACAGGGAGATAGTTGAAGGCTAATGAAGAAACCATGAGATAGGTTTCCATAGAAATTGAAAAGAATCCTCTCTTGGAAAGTATCCACATAATTTCGTAGTACTTGTTTTATCTCAGGGACAGTCAGAAGGTGCCCAATGCCATCCAAATCCCTCCTCCATCTGATGTCTTTCAACTTAAATTCTACCATTATAACTTCAGAGTTCGATCCCTGTTAATATACATATCTTCCACAGAAGGAATGCTGTTGAAGAGCTAGATGGGACCTTAAAAGTAACCTACATCCACCCTTCACTGTAATGAACAAATATTCAGAATATCTGTTCACATAGTTCCAGTGGCTGGTAATTCATTACTTCCCCAGGCCATCTAGTTTATACAGGTGCATCTCCAACTCTTAGAAAGTTCTTCCTCATGTTGAAGTAAGTACACTTCTCTGTGGCTTCTATCGAAAGGTCCCAGCTCTGCTTCTTGCAGACACACTGATTATAACTGTTCTCTCTATACTGTGACAGCCCTTTACATTTCTGAGAACACACATTGTGCCCCCTTGACTCTGCTCCAAGTTAAACAGCCCCAGATCCTTCAACTCATCTTCATAGAACTTGCTTTCTTACCACTTTCTGGAGTAACTCACTTCCCTGTGGATATGGCCCAGTTTGTCTGGGCTAGTTGTGGGAGCTTAATGCTGGACACATATCCCAAAAGTGGTTTGACTATCCCATAGTAGCATTATTTCCTTGGGTCTTCCTCCATCTTTATTTATATCCCTGAGAATTGAGATAGCCTTTTAACAAACTAACACTAAGTAATAGCTAAATGCAACCATGAGAGGTCAAAGGGGTTCTTGCTGAATCCCTGCTTATTCCATATTCTTACAGTGAGAGGCTGGAGGGTGTTAGCTTGGTGTCATTTTATGGTCAGAATGAATACAGCTTTTCATAGCTGACTCATTTTAGACTATCCTATCCTGGGGCTCTGTGATCCATCAAATTCTAGAATCTCAAGATAGAATTAAGTGGCCTAAGAGGTAAAAGCATTACTGGCACAATTAAGGCTTCTAAATATAGAGTTCTTTCTATAACTACAATATTTTCATTTTTTAGAATACACTTCCCTACCTTCTTCAAATGTATTGGTTTGAGGTGGTACTTGTAGAAGCAGGGCTGGGGCTAATGGAAGCAGTTTGTAAATGGTAAATTTAAATCATGTGTGGGCATGCACGTGAGAGTTCATGTGTGTATTGTTTCTTCCTCAGACTGTTAGGTACTCCATACTTGGGAGCAGCGCTTCCATTTGAGTGATGGGTCTTACCTTACAGACCCGAGGTTCATGACTTACTGAATTACCAACAACGCCTTCCCTCTCCCTGCATCTTAGTGTCCCCAGCTCATCTGTACAGTGAGGAGATCATCTTGGCTGGTCTCAAAGGGCACTGCCTGACAGCTGGAAAGCTCTGTAGGACTGTGGCTTCATTTCTAAAAAGCCTCTAAGGGCCAGAACCAGCTGTTAAATCTAAGATGCATGTTTAAATAAACATAATAAAAATAAATCCTAACATTTGAATTTTATAAACATCTATTACCTAAGTTACTCTTCTATCCAGGAGATACCCCAACAGAGGAAAAGTAGCCAGACACAAGGGCATGGGGTCATGGGAAGATACTCCCCTCTGTGCAATGGTAAGAGGAGGAAGATTCAAAAAGGGACCCAGTCTGAGTTCTATACAGGGGCCCACACCCAGAAAACTAGGTCTTTCCTTTCTTTAGGACTTTTGCTTTTATAAGTCCAGGGCCAGGACCAGAATGGACCCCAGTACTGTTCCCTCTTTCTCAAGTTAAACCCTTTTCCAACCAAGCCCTGGTCTTTCCCCTGAGGGGACACAATATTTGAAGGAAATTCAATTGTTTCATGAGAAAAAAGAACAAGGCTTTAAAGTTCTAGGAAAGTCTTTTTAGAAAGTAGCCAGCAGATGGGGGAATTCTTTTGCAGGCAGTCAGGGGACATTATCCAGTCCTAGGATAACATCATTTCAAACCATGTCAAGTAGGCCTAGGTAAGAGGTTGCTGGCTTCGGGCACAAATGAAGCCCACAAATCCTTAATAAGTTTAGGAACTTAAGAAGGTAAGAAGGCAGTATAGCTTCTGAAAGCTTTTATTTTAGAACTCCAAGCCCAGCTCTACTCATACTATCTGTGTAAATTCGGATAAGCATCTTCTGTCTCTGGGCCTTAGCCTTACCCATGTGTACAATGAGGGAATGCAACTAAGTGGTTTCTAAAAGCCCTTGGATCTATGTCATTCCATAAATCTCCAAAGTACTATCTTGCCTGGTCCCTCAAGACCTGTTGTACCAAGTACCTAACCATTTGGTAGTTTTCATGGATCCCCTCAGGTGTTGAGGTTTTCCTGAAGTAGATTTTTCCTAACCAGTCTTCCAGGAAAGTCAGGAGTATTGCTTAATATGGGCAACATTTCACATTGACTCTTATGCCAGTCCTGTTTTTGGAGGTACAGGTTACTGTGTCCTCTCTGGCTGCCCCCAAACCCAGGGATAGCCTATTACCTCCCTGTAAGTTGACAGATTCCATCAGTGTAGGAAGGATAATTCCTTACTTTTTCATGTCCTAACTTCTCCTTCGGGTAATTATTAAAGCTGACAATGATCTAGTCCAATTAATCTATTCACCCTGCAGAAAACAGGGTGAATACTTAAAAAAAAACATAGTGAATACTTCTATAGGATAACAAGAATCAAGATAAATATGAGAAGTTTCTCTTGAGACATTACACAGGACTGGCATGCTAGGTACTTTCATACCTATGAGTTCATTTGGTATTCAAAATAACCCTTCATGTAAAGTTTATTTTCACCTCTATCTTATTGATAATGACCCAAAGCTCAGACAGGTATAGAAATTTATTCAAGGTCACCCAGAGAAATGTAATGGTATAGCAGACTTTGAATTTATATTGGTATATATACTGGTATAAGAATACTGGTTATTCTTACTTATCATGCAGTCTTTCACTGCCCTCCTGATTTCACTTGGTGCTCCTACTTAATTTTTCTTTAGATTCTCTGAGTACCACAGTGTAAGGGACCAGTTTGTTTCAGTCTGGCAAATATGACTCAGCTCTATATGAAAAACCTGCAGAAGTGAAGTGGTGGGCAGGAGCCAGACCTTCAAACCGAGTTTTCCCATGGGAATCAGGCCTAGAAAATGCATACCGACTGTTATGGCTTGCTCTTGCTAAAACTCCACCACCCTGGTCTAAAATAACAAATGTGTATTGTATATCTTCAAGGTAATTTCCAAAGCCTGTGTGAATTTTCCTAAGGACAGAGCTCATCAGCTCGCCGCCATTCCCCTCTGCATGTTATTTTCATTTCCTTCATTATACCTAAAATGTAGACAATAATATTCTGTGTAATAGATAATAAATCTTTCTCTGATGTCAGACCCAAGAAAAACAATAAAAGCCTGTCTAGGCAAGGGTCAGGGTGCTCTCCTCTTGAGAGAGTGGCCGAGGCACTCATAGGCTCTCTCTCCCCTTGAGAGAGTAGCCGTGTTGTCCCCTTTTTCTCCACAGGACTGCTGCCTCCTGTGCATTTATTTTCTCTTTCAGTCACAATAGGCAGACTCTGCTGGCTGGAGTCTGCCACACCACAGGATTGTTGGAAGGTATAATTCAATGCTATTGAGGTTACCCTCACTTTGGAGATTAGTACATGAGGAATAGTATAATGTTTCTTTTCTTGTGATGCCCTTTGCCTACTGTACTCTTTCTTTATGCTGCTAATGAAGGAGGATAAGAGGAGAAAAGAACAAGAAAAAAAAGAAGATGAAGAGAAAAAGATGAACAGATGGGTGAAAGAAAGGAGAAGGGAAGGAACAAGGAAAAAAAATGTGATTTTTAGAAGTTTGGTCACTAACTCTGTCCCATGCCCCTATTCTGAGATGGAAGAATTGTGTCTGACTTAATTCTAGAAGTGATGTCCAGGATTGAGAAATTGGGACTGGCTGTCCATGTTCTTGACAAACAAGAGTAGGCTATGTGAGAATCCCCAGAATTTCCCAGAGAGGGTAGTATGAGGCAGGCATCACAGTTCCCCCAAGGTTGGAGGGAAGACATACATATGCATAGACAAAGGCATTTTCAGCTGCTCCAGATGTCCTTACAGCAAAATGCTGCTTTGTTTCTCAGGAGGGCAGTGTGAGAATGCTTTTAAGAAAAAGGGACAAAGATTTGGGAGGGCTGGAGGAAGATTAGTGGAAAAGAGCCACCCTAGCTCCCAGGTGGATGTGTTATCAATGTCTGCATTCTTCCTCTGTTCCCCACCTTCAGGCCATCCCATCCTTGAAGCGCCTGAGAGTGTGATAGGGCCTTGGAAAGGGAATGTGAATATCCCCTGCACCTATGGTCCTCTGCAAGGCTACACCCAAGTCTCAGTAAAGTGGCTGGTACAACGTGACTCTGACCCAGTCACCATCTTCTTACGTGACTTCTCCGGAGATCATATCCAGCAAGCAAAGTACCAGAGCCGCCTGAATGTCAACAATGAGGTTCCAGGAGATGTGTCCCTCCAACTGAAGACCCTGGAGATGGATGATCGGAACCACTACACTTGTGAAGTCACTTGGCAGACCCCTGATGGCACCCAAGTGGTGAGAGATGAGATCATTGAGCTCCGTGTCCAAAAACGTGAGTCACTGTTGGGGGTAGGAAATCACTGATAGGCAAAGACCTAACAGAGGACTATAATCTTAGAAAATCCTGAGAAAGTCTGAGACATCTGTTAATGTGTACATAGTCTCTCATTAGTTGTATGCACTAATAGGAGGAAATGGAGAGGCGGAGTATCCTCAAGGTCATCCATTTCATGGCATAATTTATTTTTTATTTAGTCTTTATTATATTTTTTCTATTGCCATTTACTTTCCTCATACCCTCCATCCCCCAGCAATCACTATACCATTCTCCATGTCTGCTTCATGACATAATTTAAAAAGTATTGGGACGTGTTCCTGGCTTTCAACCCTACTACTTCAAGTGTCCCAGAAATTCTAGCATCCATAGCCTTGTTGCCCTTCTTGGGCTCTGGGTCTTAAAACTGATAAAAATGAGTGTATCTATTGGGATATTGGAGAATGAATTGGTACTACCAGAGAAGCTCTAGGGAAAGGGATAAAACTTAGCCAAGATAAATTTTGTTGGCTTGACAATTTTACAAATATCTGCCCCTATAATCCTAAAACTGTAGATAATCCAAAAACTCTACTTGAGCTTAAAAAACTTTTTTTAAGAGTCAGTTGAGTTTTAGCTCCAGATAATCACCCCCCCCCAAAAAAAGACAGATAGTATAAATGGTACCTAATCTTCTAAAGGAAGCTATTTTTATTTATATTGTCCTATTTGCTGCCTCCCTCCCACGTCAGGAGCCCATTTTAGTTCCCTTTGTAGATATAAACATACCCCTATACCCAGAAAGGATGATTCAACTTTATGTTCCGATATTCTTACAACTTCTCAGAGCCTCCTTTCTTGTCTTCCATTTGCAGTCTCTGTTTCCAAGCCCACAGTGACGACTGACAGTGGCTATGGCTTCACAGTGCTCCAGGGAACGAGGATTAGCCTTCAATGCCAGGCTCGGGGTTCTCCTCCCATCAGTTATGTTTGGTACAAGGAAGAGACTAACAACTCAGAACCTATTATAGTAACAAGCTTGGGTACCTTAGTCTTCACGGCTGCAGTGGTGGCTGACTCAGGCTACTATTTCTGTACTGCCAAGGGCCGGGTAGGCTCTGAGCAGCGCAGCAACATTGTGAAGTTTGTCGTCAAAGGTGAGCAACACTCTCTCTTGGTGAACATCTCAATAGACCACCTTATTCCAGATATACCTCAGTAGAGTGTCTTTATTCCAAAAAAGAGAAATTGATGTGTGTGTGTTGGTGGGGGTGGGGGCTGGGAGGTATTCATTGTACGATCACAAACAAAGAAAAATTCTGGACTGGGCACAGTAGAACTGGAGATAATGCCTGCCATGCTGTAGGTTAAATAAATAAAAGATCGTAAAGGAGAAAATGATGCTTACTAGGTACATAGTATTTGCCAGATACACTGCACAAGAACTCAACACATGTTTTCTTATTGAATCCCACAACTATCTCATATGATAGCTATCATTACCCTCATTTTATTTTATTTTTGGGGGTGGCTCTTTTTATTTTTTATTTGTTGATTTGTTTACAGAGAGAGAGGGAAAGAGAGACATTGATTTTTTGTTGTTCCACTTATTTATGCATTTATTGTTTGGGTCTTGTATGTGCCCAGATCAGAGATTGAACCCTCAACCTAGCTGTATGGGGACAACACTCTAACCAAATGAGCTACCTAGCCAGGGCATATCCTAATTTTAAAGAAGATACTGAGAGTCAAAAAGGGGAATCTACTTACCAAAGAGCTCACAGCTAAGAAGTTGATGTCAGGATTTGCACTCAGATTTTATGTTTTTTCCACTGTGTCCAACTGTTTCTCATGGTTGAATCAATACCAGCTCCTAGACACCCTTTGGAAACTTTTTTACTCTGTTTGGTTTGGCTAGTTTTTTATTGTTATTTTGTTATGTTTTGTTTTGCTTTATGATTTTGTTATTTTGTTATGTTTGGTTTCGCTTCAGATTGCTACATGATTTCTTTAAATTTCCCTCACTTCTTTCTAAAGCCAAATGTGAGTTCTAGTTTAGGTGTCAATGAAGACTGACCTTGGTTAATCAATGTCTGGCTATTTCTTATAGCATTGTCCTGGGAACACTACAAACTATGTACATGAAGACTTCAGATGGGGGTTTAAAAGAACAGCCTAGCACTTACACATCCAAACGAGTCTTGCTGCCTTCCAGCAAACCTCTTTGGAAGGGAAGACACATATTCCAACAAGTCTGCCATTGCATAAAACATTTTGGGAACTAACTGCTTTTAGGGAATTATCCTCAGAATCACCTGAAGACTGCTATCCTCTGAGGATAGCTCTATATAAGGAAAGTGAGCAAACTGTCTCTCTCTAAACTGTGTTAGGAAACTGATATTAACCTGATACTCCTGTGTTTGACTGAAGGGATTTGCTTCCCAAATTGAGTTGTAGTGACAATGTGAACGCTGTAGGTTTTGGTCTGCTAGTTTTGGGGGACACAAGGGCAGTCTCACTTTGAGCGAATTATATGAATACTGGCCCAGTTCTCTGAAAGTTTACAATATGGTCAAGCAGAAAGGGCAGGGAATGTCCAAAAAGTCCAACAAAATGTACTGCATAGTACATGTTGAACTTGTATTGAAAAACAAGTTAAACATTTTCACCTTTCCGTAAATTAGTTCCTAGTACATCTGCTCAGGACCTTGCTCACAACCAATCAACCTATTTCTTGTCACAGTTCATACTTTCAGGCAACAAAGCAATGCTCATGATTGCTCCTACTGACAAATAAGGAAACTGAGGCTCAGAGAAATTATTCTGAACCTTCCACCTTTTCTGCTCTCTGAGCCAAGCTTCTCTCTATTGAATTTATCTGTGTCCTTCTCCTCTTAAACCTTGTCCCATCAGTCTGGTCTGCTGTTTCATCTCTGCCCCACATAGTCTCATCCCATCATCCCTCTGCCTCACCCACTGTGCTGTTTCTCCTTTCTTGTATGGCTCTAAAGACCATGTCTTTGCTCATGATATTGGACTGTTGAGCTCTACTCACAAAAAAAAGTACAGACATGCATTGCCCCTATGTTAGTTTTATGCTCTGTGACATCCACTTCTGGTCCCCATGCTATTATGCCAATCAGTTTGCTCTTTTTCCTATTCCTAATAGCAGCTATTTATCTTCTCCTTATCTAAGAAGATCAAGAACCCCCTCAAGATGTTAATTCTATCAACCACCCTTTCTGCCTTTATATTTCCCTATGCATTTCCTCTTGGCTTAAACTACAATAAGATGTGCTTTGCTTCTCTCCACAGCAAAACTTCTACCTGAGCTCTTAAACTCAACTACCCCAACTTCCAGTTATACTAATGATTCTCTACCTAAACCTAGTATGTATGCATATATGTATGTATATACTATCTATGTAAATATGTATATATGTATGTATATAAGCATAACACATATATAACACATATTTGATTCTTTTCTAATTAATATTATTTAGTATTAGTTTCAGGTAAATATCACAGAGATTAAACAACCATATCCTTTACAAGCATTTCCCCCAACATTTTAAGTACGCACCTAGCACCATACATAGGTATTATACTATAATTGATTTTATTCCTTATGCTATACTTTACATCCCATGACTATTTTGTATCTACCAATGAGTAGTACATCTTAATCCCTTCACCTTCTTCACCAACCCAACCAAACCTCATCTCCTCTGGCAACAATCAGTCTGTCCTCTGTTTGTATAAGTCTGTTTCTATTTTGTTTGTGTGTGTGTTTACTTCTTTAGATTCCATACGTAAGTGAAATCATATGGTATATGTCTTTCTTTGACTGACTTATTTCACTGCATAAGAGCCTCTAGGTCTATCCATGTGTCACAAATGGTAAAATTTCATTCTTTTTATGGCTGAGTAATATTCCATCACATGTATATACAACCACTTTTTTAATCCACTCATATATTATTGGACAACAGGGTTGGTTCCATAACTTGGCTATTGTAAATAACACTGCAGTGAATTTAGGAGTGCATATATACTTTTCAAAATAGTGTTTGGGGACTTCCAGCCAAGATGGAGGCATAGGTAGATATGCTTTGCTTCCTCACACAACCGAAAGAAAGACAACAACAAATTTCAAAACAAAAATAACCACAACTACCAGAAAGTCAAACTGTATAGAAGTCCAACAACCAAGGAGTTAAAGAAGAAACATCCATCCAGGCTGGTAGGAGGGGCAGAGATGGGCAGCCAGGGCGGAGACTATGTACAGCAAGGTGGTGCTGGAGGACTGGGCAGGCAAGGTAGTGGATGGCAGACCAGGTGGTCCCACATTTGTGTGCAGATAAACCACAGGAGGAACAACTGGGGAGTGAGACAGACAGCACAATCCTAGGTTCCACTGTGGAAAAATAAAGCCTCAAAAACTTCTGGCCGTAAAAACCTGCAGGAATTTCAGAGTTGGGAGAAAACCCCACTCTTACAGAAAAGTCCATTAGAGAGAACCAAAGGGTCCCAGAACATACACAAGCCCATCCACCCACCCAGGAATCAGCACCAGAAGGGCCCAATTTGATTGTGGGTAGCAGGGGAAGTGACTGAAAGTGGGGCAAGAGCCAGGCAAGAGCCAATCAAGCAGCACTTATCCCTCTCTGACCCCTCCCCCATATACAGCACCACAACACAGCCAAGTGGGTTGCCCTGCCAGGGCAAATACTTAAGGCTCTGCCCCTTACTATATAACAAGAGCACCAAGACAAAGAAATATGGCTCAAATGTAAGAACAGATCAAAACTCCAGAATCATAGGGGTGCCAGAAGGAGAAGAGCAAGAAGTTGAAAATGACTTTCAACAAATAATGAAGAAAAACTTCCCCAATCTGGTCAAGGAAATAGACTTCCAGCAAGTCCCGGAACTCAGAGAGCCCGAAAGGACTTAAATATAAGTCGAGACACTATCAAAGTCCTGGAAGAGAACATAGGCAGGAAAATCTCAGATATTCCATGCAGCAATATTTTCACTGACATGTTCCCTAGAGCAAGGGACATAAAGGAAACAACAAACAAATGGGATCTCATCAAAATAAAAAGCTGCACAGCTAAAGAAAACAGCATTAAAATGAAAAGAGAACCAACTGCATGGGAAAACATGTCTTCATTATTGAAGTATTTTTTTATTTTGATGTTCTGATTGAGTATTTTCTGTTACCTTGTCTTCCAAATTGCTGATTCAATCTGATTTATCCAATCTGATATTGATGCTTTTTAGTGTATTCTTCATTTTATTTATTTATTTTATTGTTATTCAATTACAGTTGTCTGCATTTTCTCCTCACCACTCTCCGCCCCCCAGCCCAGCCAAACCCACCTCCCTCCCTTGCTCCTACCCTCCCCCTTGGTTTTGTTCATGAGTCCTTTATAGTAGTTCCTGAAAACCCTTCTCCCCTCTGGCCCCTCCCCCCTCCCCTCTGGCTATTGTTAGATTGTTCTTAATTTCAATGTCTCTGGTTACATTTTGTTTGCATTTTTCTTTTGTTGATTAAGTTCCAGTTAAAGGTGAGGTCATATGGTGTTTGTATTTCACCATGTGGTTTATTTCACTTAGCATAATGCTCTCCAGTTCCATACATGCTGTTGCAAAGGGTAGGAGCTCCTTTATATTCTTCATTTTGAATATTGTATTCTTCATTTTTGACTGGCTCTTTTCTTATGGTTTATATGTCCTTTTTACACTGCTGAAGTTCCCAGTGAGCTCCTTTCTTGTAACCATTGCTTTGAACTCTATCTGGTAGATTGCTTGCCTATATTTGATTTTGTTCCTTTTTGAGATTTCTCCTATTCTTTTGTTTTGGACATGTTCTTTTGTCTCCTTATTTTGTCTTCCTCTCTGTGTTTGTTTCTATGTATTTGGTAGATCTATTTGTCTTTCAGTCTTGGTAGGGTGGCCTTATGTAGTGTCCTGTGGGTCTAAGTGGTACACTCTTTCTGATCACTTGGGCCAGGTGCTCCAGCAGTGTCTCTTGTGTGGGTTACATGAGCCCTGCTGTTGTAGTTGAGTCTTGATGTGTTTTTGGCCCATCTGTGAGTATTGGCTGACCCTCATGAAGACTGACACTGACCACAGTGTATAAGCTGCTTTG